CCCGAGGCCCTTGTCATGAGCTGCCAAGGCTATGCAAGCCTCTTGAGTTCGCCGACTCTGACTTTATTTTGACAAGGCCATAGTCAAAGTAGAAGTTCTCTGCTCCCTTCAGAGAAAGGTACCTCCTTCTCTGATGGCCCCTTCTTTCCTGTTGTGGGCATCTGAGCAATGAATCAGCAGATGGAAGATATCTGTGTGTGTGTGTGCGTGCGTGCATGTGTGTGTGTATCACTCTGCCTTTCAAATAAATAAGTACAAAAACTTTCTTTCTTTCTTTCTTTTTTTTTTTTTTTTTTTTTTTTTTTTTTGACAGGCAGAGTTAGACAGTGAGAGAGAGAGAGAGACAGTGGCCGCTACAGCCGGTGCATTGCGCCGATCCGAAGCCAGGAGCCAGGTGCTTCCTCCTGGTCTCCCATGTGGGTGCAGGGCCCAAGGACCTGGGCCATCCTTCACTGCCTTCCCAGGCCACAGCAGAGAGCTGGACTGGAAGAGGAGCAACCGAGACAGAATCTGGCGCCCTGACCAGGACTAGAACCTGGGGTGCCGGCGCCACAGGCGGAGGATTAGCCAAGTGAGCCGCAGTGCCAGCCCAAAAACTTTCATAAATAGTTAAGATGATAAATAATTTTATGTCATATGTATTTTACCACAGCTATAAATTTAAGAAAAGAAAGATAATATTAGGAAAACCATTTGCGGGTAACCGAGCTCCAGATATTTTGGGGTCATTGTTATTTGTTTAGCTTCACAAAAAAAAAAAAAAAAGAAAGAAAAAGAAAAAAAGAAAGAAACAAAAGTACAGCAACACTTAAAATGTTCTCCTGGAAATAGAACTCAGAAATATATGAGTTCAATGTCCCAAGACAAGAGATAGTAAGGAATAGAATGGACCTGCTCTTTTAATAGAAAAACACGCTACCACGATCACACGGGCAGAGACACCCTACAGGGATTCAAAAGGAGACCTTGCCCTCTCTACTCATCTGACTTTCCATGGGATAGCAACAATTAGGACTCTTCTTCCTGCTCCCACGCCAGTGACACTGTCCCTAAAAATCCACTTCCCCTGGGGCACCATGGTATCCTGAGCCCTGGAGACTCTGTGGATATTCAGAAGTTTCTTGGAGAGAAGATAGTTTGCAGATAGCACAGCCCATGACAAACGAGTCTAAGTCAGCGCTTCCCTCTGACACCACACATGTAAATCAGTTTGAGCCTTTTATGAACCACACTGGTTTTCACAGACAGGACCTGGGCTGAAGACTGCTGGAAGGGTTGTTTCATCATTGGTCTTGTTTTGTTCATTTCTGGTTTGGTTTCCTTTGTGAACAGAAACATTTGGTTTTCCCTCTCAAAATTGCAAAATCTTTCTCCTGCCCCCACGTGCACACACATTTTTACACAGGAAGAAGGAGCTGCTGGGGACTGCTGAGGCAGCAGCAAGTCCTCTGGGCAGTGTGCTGGGCCAGCTTTTTGGAGAGGGGCATGATGCCCAACAATGTACAAAAGCACGCGAGAAAGGCAGCTAATGGTAAACAACTCATTTATGTTTCTAGAGATATTAAGGCAGTGAGTAATCTAGAAGGGAAAAAAAAACACATCAAAAGTTTGGAGCCAAGTCTCAGGAAATGGAGAACTAAGTCCCTGATGGGGGAAATCCCCTATTGTAAAATATAGTGGTGTTCCATTAAGGGGCTACAGGGTAATTAAATCTACCTTTCTTATTTATAATGTTTATTTAGTATTTTCAACTACTTGAAAGGTAAGAGAAAGACAGAGGTATCTTCCATCTACTAGTCCACTTACCAAATGCCCACAACATACAGGGTTGGGCTAGGCTGAAGCCAGGAGTTGGAACTCTATCCACATCTCCCACGTGGGTGGCAGGGGCCCAAGCACTTGAGCCAGCTTCTGCTGCCTCCCAGGATGTATTAGCAGGAAGCAGGATAGGAAGTGGCACATCCAGGACTCAATAAACTGGCACTCAGCTCTGGAACGTTGGCATCGCAGGCGATGGCTTAACCCACTGCACCATAACACCAGCCTATAAGCTATTTTCCATGTTTTAAGCAGCCTACAGGAAATTGAATATCCACTGAACTGTGGTCACATGAGCTGGCTAGAAACTTGCTTTTTTTCGTGTTTGAGCTGGGAATCTCTCTAGTGATTATGATAACTGTCTCGTACCAATCACAAACCCCGACTGGCCATTGAAGACACCCAGAACATGTCTGAGCTGAGATTTCTTTCTCAATCTGCCACAAGCCTTTGATTAATAAAAATGGATCACAACTGCATTATTACTGATCCATCACAATTTAGAAGGCAAAATCTTGCACCACCCTGAGTTCACTCTGTGCAGCCTGTGGAGGTGAACAGTTTGGGAGCTATCCTCAGGGCTCCCCCCTCTGTAGGAACATGCACCATTCAAGGACGAAACAGGCTTCCCAGAAGCCAGGGAGGAACGGGCCTGTTGTGTGAGAGAATGCAAAGAAAGATGGTGTGAATTAACTGCATCTGCTAAGGCCGGGTGAGAAGGGGAGGAGAGAAGTCGTTGACATTATGGGAACAAGGGCAAAGAAGAGAGTTTGATACTGACTCAGAGGTAATCCAGAATGGGCTACCTTGCACTCATTTGGTGCTCGTGAGAAAACCAGTACCTCCACCCAGAAACCAAATGTACAGCTCACCTCTGGATAACACAAAGCACCCTTTCCATCTGGAAATAAATGGACACCTGAATTCATGTCCCTTTACTTCTGAAAACAAAAGCAAAAAGGCTATAGGTAAGCCCAAAAGACATTCAGAAGCAATAAGACAAGGCATGGGTGAAGAAACAGTATCTTCAAACAAAGCCCTGCAGTAACTAAACCAAACAAATGCATCTGTTTTAATAAAAATGGGTTCTCTTAAAATCTGATACTGATCAATTTACAGTACCCTTTGGTATGGGTGTTCCCATGTGTAGACAGGCAACTTTTCGGAAGTAACACATATTTCAAATGCAGACACATCCCTGGGCTGCTTTCTTGTACACAGAATGGAAAAAATAATGCCACAGTCACGTAAAACACCATAATATGCAGCCAAGATACAATTTCTACTCTCAGAAGAATTTAAAGCTTTCTAGCACAAACTATGAAGGCATCAATATGAAAATCTTTTCATGGCTGCAAAGTGACTTTCTTTTCCACATACAGCATATGTACAACACAGGAAGAAAAAAAGCATATTCAGCTTTATCTGTGGATGCAAGTGGCACATAGTATTTTAAAGTTAAGAATTGCTGCTAAGTGCAGAGTCGTTAGGATGTGAGTGTAGGAGATGTAATGTTCAGGTTAGCATTTACGGGTTGGCAAACATTTCTAAAGCTGGTTTATGGGGTGTTTATGACAAGAAAAGATGTAACAGGCACAAGGTTAGAGTGCCTTCTTGAAAGAGGAGCTGAAGTTAGTGAAAATGACTAGAGGAAGATTGGAGAGCTCAGTCTACACACCAGGAGGACAGGACCAGGGTCCAGGCCGGTCTCACATGCCTTCAGTTCCCCAGAGAATCCCAAGGGTACCCTGGAAGGTAGGGAAATGTTGCCGTGTGCAAGCAGGAGACCCAACTCATCTGCTGGGACAGACAGGGTTCTGGTAGGCCAGATCATTTCCACGAGAGGAGCAGGAGGCTAGGAGCAAGGACAACTGTGTTCTAGTGCCAGCTCTACCCCAGTCAACCATGCAAGTGCGAGCGAGTCATGTCAGCACTCTGAGGTTCAATTTCTTCACCTATAAAATGAGGAAACGGCTCACCCCGCAGAGTCCCTTCAACTCTGTAGATCTAAGCTTCTCTGCACTTTCAGAAATACCAGAGAAATTCAAAGAGTTCCCTCAGCGCAGAACCTAATAAAATGGCAAAGGCACCATCTACACACGTTCAGCAAACATCTCCTATTTGCCTTCATTGCTTCCAAGCATCTCAGAGAACACTATAAAGCTGCCCCTGATATTTCAGTAGCTTCCCGAAACCTCCAGCAGCAGGCTGCACCCTCCGACCCATCATCACACATCGGGAGAACAGAGATGCACAGTGCTTTGTCCAAGGTCAGAAGCTAGGTCAGGATCAGAACTCTAGCCTCTTCAGTTCCTAGGCCTATGCTATACTTTCCACGAAGAAACCAAGCTGGCTTTCTGGGAAGGATGCCAGAGGTTCCATTCTCCCAGCTGAGAATTCATAGGAATATTGGAATAACAACTTTGGAGACTGTGGTCTCTCCAATCCATTTCAGGACCTGGCTAGAAACACAAAAACCCAAAGAAAGAAGCAATAGGGAATTACTCCGTTTTTTAACGAAAGAGAAAAAATTAGGGGTGGGAATATGGGGTTTCTTAAAAATTACATGATTGCTGAAAGTTAATTTGGTATTTCTTTGTTGGTTTGTAAGTTCTGTTTCCAATCACAAAAACAGACAGCTGAGGATGCCTAAATCACATTTCAGCGAATTAGCATCTTGTCCCACAGACTCTCTCCTGCTCTGAATACAGCACAGAACCCGCAGGGCACGCCTGGGTGGTAGGAGGGACTCTCCCTCCGTGCAGTCACAATTCCCTGTGCCACAGACCACACTGATCCTGCTCAGGCCGAGCAGCAATCGCTGAGATGGGCAATAGGTGTGCCGCTGACCCAGGTTACACCAGCTCTGCTGGGGAGTGGACTGGCCGTGTACCCTGCCAGGCAGCCTTCACAGCCTCTATTAAACACCCTCCTTATTAAGCTGAAGTTAGTGCTCCTGGAAGAAGAAAAAGGTCCACATTCCAAGACACAGGTCCTAAAAGTCAGGTTCTCACTCCTTCCATGAGAGGCCAGCCAGCACAAGGAAACCCTTGTGGGACAAGCACAGTGCCCTGGAGAAAACAAGAACCCACCTCACAGCAAAGTGCCGAGCGATCAGTACTCAGCTGAAATTCATGAAGGAAAGAAACCAGAAATGACCTACAAATCATGTTTTCCCCTACCTGTCAATGATCACAGGGTCCGAGGGCGTCTCGTTTCTGTTTCCACAGCTTTTCTTTTCACAGCATCGACTGTATATTGGGAAGGGGCCAAAAGAGGAAAAGAAATTTGTTAAGTCAAGGAAATACAATGGGCATACAATGTCAGGACATTCACAGAAATGAGTCATGTCCAGGGTAGCCTCTCAACTATCAACTGCTTGAGGGCAGAATCTGTGGCGTGTTTTATAAAAGAGAACAAACGAAAGGACTTACTGAACCAAGCCAAAATATACTCATTCAAGTTCTCACTCCATGACTTACGAAGTGGCTGATTCTCAGCACATCACAACTTCCCCCAGGGCCAAATTTGTAATCTGAATCCTGGACAGTTGGAGTTTAAGATCTACGAGGTCACTTTCAGCTTGGTGTTCAATGACTTTATGATTTTATATTGTAGGTCTTTGTGTCACAATATATATTGAAAAAAAGAGGGGAAAAGAAAAATGTATAAAATAGACCACAAGGAGCTGCTAGATTATTATAAACTATATTCACATAGTATGTTTCTCAAGCTAATCCACTGTAGTTTATCAATACTTATTCATTTACTCATTTCCATCATTTTCTAAAAATGAAGGAGGAAGACCAGAACTATGGTTTATACTTTAAAATAGGAAGAAAATGAAGCAGAGAACTGTAGAATGATTTCTCCAAGAATTTTCATGAAGTCTGGAACAGAAAATGGACTTGATCAGATGTAGATCCCAATCCAGAAAACTCTACATCCCAAGACGTCCTCCTGACAAGGTGCTGAGTACCTGGTAGACCTCCATGGCTGGGTAAATGCTGGGCATGGGGTGGGGAAGAGTAAAGAAGAGAAAGTAAAAAGAGCTTTCCCCAGCGCAATTACAACAGAAAAGAAATAGAAAGAAGAGAGCAAAAGGATCTCTTGGAAATACAGGGACAAATTGAGAAGAGCAAAGGAAACTGGAGGGACCTCCACACCACCTGACACTAGCCCCAATGGGGCCGCCTGCCGCTTCTCAGGGCCACAGACTGCTGAATACCCCTCAGCTCACCCCAAGTGCACAGTCCACAATCAACTGAAGTTGATTAGAATGGAGCCTTGACATACTTTATAAGGAAATCATTATCTTCCACACCGGTTGGCGGCTGTCTAATAAATGTTAACAATAACCAAACTATATGTGAGTGCTGCCCTTCCCCTGATAGTTTCTCTGTAGCTTAAGATTGATGCGGTGCCAGAGAAACACTGCTGAACTGGGAATCTGTGCTCTGGCGTCTAACTCATCACTAACCAGCTGCACGAATTTAGTCAAATTTCTTTAACCCCTCTGGGCTATGCCTCCCTTTCATATAAAATTAAAGCATTGGATTAGATTATCTCTAGAGTCCCTGCTAGGTTTAAATCCATGAGGCTATAGAATTCCACGAGCACCCTTCCAAAGAAATGGCTCTGTATGGGAAATAAGGCAGTCAGAAACATCAGAGAGCCCAAGGCCTAGATGGTACCAGCCATAGATGTGCTTATAACTCTCTGCAACCCACCTTGTTTCCTCTGATCACCCACAGAATCCAACACAAACACTTTAAAACTTTTAAAGCTCATCTCTTTCAAGAAAGGATGTACAGATTACTTGGTGAACAATTCTATCATCCTTAGAAAGTAAAATACACTGGAGAAATGCTAGAACATTTTCACCAAATGGGCACAATGAGGTTTTTAAGAAATTTAATCAAATTAGTAGGAAGTAAAAGAAAAATTGTCTCAACTTTCTTAAATACCAGCGTTTACCACTGGGAGTTTCTGAAATAATATTTGGACTTTGAAATTATATTAAGTCTTAACTTTTAAATTTTTCAGTCTATCCCAAGATTAACACCAACAAAAATGTGGCCAGCTGCACTCCCCCCCTCCAAAGTCCTTGTCTCTCTTCTTGACTCCCTACTGCCATCCATTTGTCCACCTCCCACCTCTCCTGTGTTTGGTTCCTTTGCTTATGTCAAGGAACACTTTTGCAGCTCCAGCCATCTACTTTGCTTAGCAATACAACTTCAAAAGACCCATACATGCTAGTTACCTATAGACCTTTGAGTTAGACACTTCATTGCCATCACTAATGTGTGATGCCACAAATCCAGGGACAAATCCAAAGACCCTAACCCCAGATATGCGTGCAATGCTGGGTACAATTTAATTACAAGAGCACACACTGTCAGGATGTGTCAATCTGTTTAGTTTGGATAGAAATGAATCTGAGGGGACGGAGCAAGTTTGCAAAATTGCTCAGCTGAATTCAGCTGCTTTCCATGGGGATTTCCTCTGGAGGAAAAGAAAAACAGATAAAAACGTAAGCCTGGTGCCAGTGTGGGGAATCAATTCAGGAAAAGAACTGATAGTCAATAGCAAATGCAAAGAAACTTTAGGACCCAATCCCCTACTACCCAACAGTAACTTATTTAAATGTAATCTCCAATGTTAACATTCAACTCAGACAACAGAAAGAAAACAGTCATTTAAAGGTATAAAAATAATAGCACTTGGTTGTATTTGCCTCATTTGAACCCTTTTTAAAATTTTTCTGCGTCTCTAAGTTAGCCAAAGCAAATTCTTTTCTCTTTCTTGTTATTTTTTTAAGTTCGCATCCATATGTCCTAGTTGTTTTTAATTTTGTTTTTCAACAACATTCAATCCCCGTGCCAGCAATATTAACAACAAAGGGGAGGGGAACACCAAATAGGAACCCACATTCCCCAAACAGTGTGCAGAGTTGACGCTAAAGAACTGGCACCCTGAGTTACCCAGATGACAAACTCACTTCCCCCTTCCCTCTGCTGCATAGACAAAGGCTGAAGGATCAACCTCAGGTTCAGCTGCTCAGTTAAAAGGCTTTTAGGGTTATTTTCCAAAGTCAGAAGTTCCTGATAAGCACTTTTTTAAGACTGAAAGGGACTACCAAATAGGAAGAGATGGGGAAAATTCAGAAAACCAAAAGAGGAAACTAAACTTGGCCATAAGTGGAGACTGTGCGGCTAACTACCCGAGAGGCTCAGAGATGCTTGCTTTCTCCTGACGAATGAAAATGAAGCTGCTCCTGGGCTTCTCTGTCCGGCTCGGCTGGGTTCATTGTGCTCTAGTACTTATTTGGAGAACATTCTACCTGAAACACTCTCCACTTGTTCACAGGCTCTTTCTTCCTCCCTGCTCCACACCGAGCCTTTAAAGAGGGAAAGGGAAAGAGTGCAAGTTGGGAGTGGGAGGTGAAAGATATGAGGGATCTTTTCACTGAATCTCACCTGCATTTTTCACGAAAATAAAAGTGAAAAAAAAGATGGCTAACGGAATTAAAAAAAAAAAAAATCCCCAGCCCTGGCTAGAGCGTGCCCAGTCAACTCTTGTTCAAGACAGGCTAACATGTCCCTTTCCCCTCAACACCGTTTTTAAAATTCAACCCTCAACTTTCAAAAATCTGTCTCTAATTTCAAACTCAAATAAGCGCACAGCATGGTGGCTTTTGTTTTGTTTTCTTCTCCCCAACTCCTCCCTGCGATTGCATAACAAAAGTGTCTAAATTCACACCATCTGGCCGATAAAGACACTGGCCCCACTGCCCGGCTGGCCCATCTGATTAGGGCCCTGTCTAGCCTGCGCCTTGTGGCGAAAAGTCACAGCTGTGGGGTTTGCTCGCGCTCAATACAACTCTGTTATTAGCCAGCTGTAGGCCTTGAGACGACTTCTGTTCAAATTATAATATCTTTTAACCCTCTGAGCATTGAGGGCATAGGGGTGGCTGGCAGCGACATAACAACTAGATTTCTCCTTGCTAATAATTGGCAAAATGAACTAAAGCAGGGAAGAGAGGATCAGAGACCACTGGGAATGGGAAGAAGAAGTTATTCCTAAAGAGACTGATTTTTGTCCCTATGCTTTGTTCCTCTCTCAAAGCTAAATGCCAATTTATGAGCCTTTTAGTAAAGATTATAGAACATAAAACCATTCAGGGGAGTGCCCAGGTATGGCAAATAACATCATGCAAATGAAACTACGTGTGTGCAATAACTGTTGGGAAACAGGATATCTGCTTCACCTCTCTCTCCTTGACTGTGAGAACTGGCTCTAAAAATGTGGAAGGAATCCCCCACCCCCTTCCAGGGGAATCACCAGCTCTGACAGATTGAGTGAGAACTTCCCTTTCAGATGCATCCAATATTTGCCATGACCCATTTCATCCCCTAACACACACACACACACACACTGCAGAAAGTACCCATCCAATGGATCATTTGCCCATAATTAATATTTGTTTTAAATTCTAGTTTGGGAAGAAAAGAGCAGCGCATCTCCCCTGGTCTCCAACATGGAGAAGTTACAGTACATTAAATTTTTATATTGTGTTACTAATGCAGACTAAACTAGAGGCTTTAAAAATTGATGCTGCTACTTAAACAGCATAAAATGAGGAGGATTTGATGGGGCTTAAAAATAAAAATGTCAGCCTTAACTACAGCTGGATGGGGTGTGCAAGTATTATTTAAAGTGATAGGTATAATTCATCAGACAATCGGCCAGCTTTTTTTTGTTTTGTTTTATTCTTAGACATTTAAAAGTGTAGATAGGAATGTAAAAACCTCCCTTCAATGAGCTAACCAAATCAACACATTCTGACTATCTGATCTAGATATCACAGGCAACTACATCTTGGAATTGTATTTTCTTTCTGAGCAAATCTACGAAGGAAGGAGCCTTGGGATAATGGAGACTCTGTCTTTGGACTCCACTGCCCAAAGCCTCACCCAGTCCCCTTTCCTTGAAGCCATTGGCTGAACTGAACTTTGCATTTGGCAAAGTGTGTTTTTTCTCATAGGGGTCAGAACCAAAACAAACATGTCTGATTGTTATGATTTCTTCCTAACTGGGTTGGGGAGGGAAACAGGGCTTCAGGGAGCTACTCATAAAGACTCCATGCTAAAGTAGAAGGTCTGCAATGACCTACAACTAGCAGGTCTGGTGTTGGGAGACATTTGCTGAACCCAGAGCAGAGTAAGGAAAACTGAGGCATCGCCTCCAACCAAAGAATTGAGGGGACTTGGGAGGACGAAGAAACGTGTGTGGAATGGACTTTCACGTTTTTACAGTGAAATAATCATGCTCTTTGCAGAGTTTGCTTTTCATATCCTTTGTCATTTGCAGTGGGATCCCCCAAACCCCGAGTCAGATATGCAGCACATGCTAGGCCCCCCAACATCTGTTGAAAGAATAAGTAAGTGTGTGTATCTAGTATCTTTGTCTTCTAGCCAAGCAGGAGAGGGGGCCACTCGCAGGGCTCAAAAGGAAGAGATTGGTCTCTGAAAGGCAAATGGGAAAGGAATAGGGACGCGGGCCGAATGCAATTTCCACTACGTGCGCGTCAGAATCCAGCTGCTGCTCTGGCCCCCACAGCTCCGAGAAGGGGTCCCCTCCCCACGGATCGGGACCGGTCTTTCTTCCGGGGCAGTCCCTCCGGACCTAAGAAACTTTAACGAGACCTGAAGTCCTAGGCGAATTAACTTCTCCCGAGTTAAGAAATAACCGGCATCACCGACAGGTGCCGAGGCGCAAGAAGCGCCAGGGAAACCGGCCGCTCGCCACACGGTGCGTCCCGCCTGGACTTCGCCTCAGCGACTCCACAAGTGGCCCCACCTGGAAATCCACCCGCAGCCGGCCGGCGGGGGGGGGGGGGCAGCTTCGGCGGACCCTATCGAGGGATGTCCTGCCACCTCCCCGCACTGCCGCCCACTGAGGGCCGGGGAGTTCGCTTCATCGCGCCCGGGTTTGGAACCCTGAGTCGCTCCGGGGCTTCCTCTCCTAGTTCTAACGGAAATGCTCCAAGCCTCTTGCCTCCAAGGGAGTTCCATGGGTCGACCCCTGCGCCAGCGCACCAGGCCTCCCTCCCCAGCAGCCTCACTCCTGAGCCAGGCCCCGGGGGAACACGGCTCACCTGCCCGGCCTCCCAGCCATCTCCGAGGCCAAGGTGGCCCTTACCTGCACATGACTTCGTGCGTCAGGAGAACTCGGCACATTTCCGGATTCTTATTCTGGCCCTCGTAGGCTATGGGCTGCGGAGTAGGCGGGCGAAGGAAGAAGAGAGACGGAAGGGAGTGGGGGGAGCAAAGAAGGGACTTTAGACCAAACACTGACTCGGTTTCCCTCTACCTGCCGCCTCCTTAGGGATCCCAGCACGCAACACAAGCCCAGAGCGGCTGCCGGGTAAATTCAATGGACGTAATGATAGAGAAGTCCACCCCATGGAGGACATAGTTCTTTGCCCCCCCCCCCAAAAAAAAAAAAGTTTGGGGACGACTCAATCCTAAATGTCCCAATAAGTGCTTTGCTCGCCTCTCCCTGCCCCCAGTATCTCCCCCGGTCCCATAGAAACAGGTCAACTAGTGAGAAAAAAAAATGTTTTTCAGAACGGACAAGTTGCGGGATGATACGGAGAAGGCGAGGTCGGAGGCCAGCTGAGGCGGTGGGGTGGAGGTCAGAGTCAGACGCAGAGGGCTCACCTGCTTGGTGACGGAGTCGATGAGCCTGACGTAGAGGTCCTGCTCCGTGCGGACGCCTGCGGAGAAAAGAGAAGCTCATGAGTCAGGGGTTGCGGAGCCCCTGCGGGGCACCCCAACCCCTTCTCATCTCCACTCCGAGGGTCAGCACCCAGGAGGCCCGTCCTGGCGCCCAGGCTGAGTCATTCCCGGAGGCAGGGACCTCCCAACCCCAAGCCTCCCGCAGCCCTTCTGCAAGGGATCGCGCCGGGTCAGCAGCGCCGAGGAGGGGGACGTGCGTGCCCACCGCAGCTGGCCGCTGGGCGCCGGCTGGCGCCGCGCTTACCGTTGCTGTAGAGCAGCTGTAACTTGTAGTGGGTGCCGTTGTTGGTTTTCTCGTTGCCTTGCTCCTGAAAAGACACAAGGCGTCCGACCACCCCTTGCTTTTTCAGCCCCAAATGAGGGAAAGAGGGGAGAAAAAAAAGCACAGGTCCCCACACCACCTTCCACTGCCTTCTACTCCCTGAAACAACCTCCTGTACAGCCCCAGGTCAAAGGGCGGGGGCTGCCCCTGGCCGTCCTCAGAAACTTGCCAAGGCTCATGGCCACTTGACCTTCTCCGGCCCTTAGTCCCTCCTTAAAACTGCCCCCAGAAGTGGGACCCTCGAGCTGCCACCAGCAGCCACAGCACCAACACTGCCTGCCAACAGGCCCCACGCCACCCAGCCAGCCGGGTCTGTCTGTCCTTAGGAAAGCCCAGCGCAGAAGGGTAAAAGGGACTCGTCATTTGGAAGGGCATCATTTGGCAGCTGCCCTGCCAGCACCCCGCAGGGACCCGGAACTCAGCGACCGAGTCCCAGGTTCAAGAGGGACCTTGATCTGATAACTCGCGGTGTTCAGCTGTGGAGACCAAGGCCAAGAAAGAAAACGAGATTTACTTTTGGTCACCGATTAGGTGCCGTGGACTGTCTTTCATTTGAACACAAATCCAATCCCCAAATCCCAGGCTGAGTTCGGAGGAGGGGCAGCCTTGGCAAGTGAGAGTGGGAGAAGACTCAGCGGGGAAGACCGGCCACGCACCGATTCAACCCGCGCGGCGGGGTCTGGCAGGTGCAAAAATAATTTTAAAAATAACACGGAGAAGGACAGCAGCGGCCTTGGGTACACTTGGGTATACGTTCTAACTCTGGCCAGGTAGGCAGGACGTTTCTCCAGGGTCACTCCACGACCTGGCACAGCTGATAACCCAGAGTTTCATTGCGCACAGCCGGTGCGCTCCTACGACGCAGGGTGCGGGAGTTGGGGGTGGGAGGAGGTGCGGGGAAATCGACTGATTTAGAGGCTGGGGGTGAGAAGCCTCAATTTATCATCCCTGATGATGCAAGCGGAAAAGTGTCGCGAGTGACAGATGGAATCTTTAGTGCTTTGCAAGGAGAGAGTTGGGGGTGGTGGTGGGGGGAGTCCGCTTACTTTGTCGTTTTCCACAAAGTCCACGAAGGCCGTGCGCTCGATCTCCACCGGCTGCCCCTGCCTGTCGTACAGCGCCAGGACGAAATGGAAGAAGTTGGACTTCCTCAGGTTAGAGGGAGGCTGCTTCTCAAAGTGGGCCCGGGACAGGGCAACCCCGCTGCGCAGGAGGAAACACAGGGGACAGCGACACGGGCAAGGAGAGAAACAATGACGTTAATAACGAACCCCGCAACTCCATACAGGGGCCAGGGGCCCAGGGTCCAAGGGCCTGGACCCTTTGGGCCTTTTTTTCAAGGTGGATTAAGAAGCGAGAACTCCTTAGAGGAGTCGAATGGCCACGCGGGTGGGGGCTGAGGGCCAGGTGTCCAAGCGAGGCCACCGCTCAGAGCTCACCGCTGGGTTTTCAGTGGAAACCCAAAGGCCCGGCTGCTGACCGTGGCCCAGCGCAGTACCCCGAGGCGGCAGCCCGCGCTCCGACCCCTTCAGGCTGTGCCGGTTCTCTCTCGGGCTCTGCCGACTGAGTCGGGACAAAAAGCTGGGGCTCACGGTTAGGGACCTAAGTTCCTCGTTTGCTTTTAAAGAGATGATCCTCTTACTTCATCTGAGTTGCCAGTCCTGGAGCCCCTGCCATAAGGCTCCCCAGCTAACTCGGACAGTAGTGGGCAAGAACCCCCAAAGAGCTAGCGTGAGGCCCGAGAGCCTAAATCTCATTCCTCCTGGCCTCATCCCCTTGGTTCCCTCGCTTTTCCGAAAAAGTGTGCCCGGGACAGTGACGGGGTGGAATCCCAGCGAACAGCACTGGGGACCGCGGGTCTTTGAGGGCCGCGCACACCGGTGCGCTCACCCCCGGCACTACCAACCATGCAGAAGCCAAAACACCGAGAGGCAGCCAGCGTCCTCGCCTGGGGTGGAGGCGATCCCCGCTCAAGCTGCGTTTCCAGTTGACGGCAGCCAAACCCACTGACCGTCAAACCCGAGTTGGGGGGCCAGGGAGGCGCCCTCCAGAGATCCCAGTGTGTGCGCGCACCTCCCCACCAACCTGTCGCAGCCTGTGCCAAGTCGGCTACCCGGTCACTTCTAACGGAAGACCTGGGGCGCCGGCGACCACACAGATGGCCGGAGCTGCCCCGCGGCTCTGGGCTCTCCTGGCCTGGTGTCCCACTGCAAGAGCACTTTTCGCTCTTCCCGAAGGTGTACCATTTTGGCTAGAATCCCCCCCAACGAGGGCTCTGCCAACTTTAAAAAACTCCGATTCGGGAAGGGAGGAAGGTGAGGAGGCATCTTGAAGGAGCCCAGCTAAGGAAGCGCGCCGCGGAGCCGGCTCTGCCGCGCTGCCGCCTTTCCCGCTGCTGGCAGCCCCGCTCCTGCCGGGACCGCGGCACAGGCTGCCACGGCGCGGTGCCCTCTGCCCGAGGGAACCCGCGCCCCCAGGCCCCGACCCACGGCAAGGAGTCTCCACCCGCACGAGGCCCAGAGCGCTGCGGCTTCTGCCTCCTCTCCACGGAGGGTGGCGCCGGGTTCGCTCTACCCGGGACACCTAGAGACGTGGCCTGCCTGGAAGAGGGGCCATTTCCCAGTGCGACGCCGCCGGGACTTAAAGGACGACCAGGAGGCCAGGTGGGGAGACGGAGGTCCTGGAAGAAGGGCTGCGCTCTTTGGGGATGAAGGGGCTGCAGACAAGGATGCGGAGCCCACAAACCCCAGCCCCGAAGTGGCGGACAGATATCCTCGCGAGTGGCACCCTGGACAAAGTGTCCAGTATCCCAGCGCGGGCGCCTGGAAACAAAGTGAACTTCGCGCACCGCACCGCTGGCGGCCTGCGGCCCCTGCGGCTGCCGGGCGGACCGGTTACTTCCCGCGCCTCTTTCTGCTTCCACGACTCCCTCTGCTGTGACTCCCGCGTCTCTTCTCGCGCCTCGCGTTCTCCCCCTTCCCGCCTCTGCGAGTCTGGTCTATCTCCAGCCGCTGCCCCTTCCTGGGCTGCCGGCGCCTCTCCTCGCCCAGGCGCCGCTGCAGCCTCGCCTGCGCCTCTCGCCGCCGCCGCCCTCCGGCCACCGAGCTCCCGCTCCTCGGGAACCGCCTGGCGTGATGCGGCAGGACAGGCACGGTGGAGAACCCCGGGGTCCGCGGCCGCCGGGGCCAGCCCGGGCCGCGCCGGCTCGCGGAGCTAGGGACTGAGCCTCGAGACGTCGGATGCGGCTTTACGTTCTGTCCCCTGGAGGGCGAAGCACACACACGACCCAGGCAGCGGCGGCCGCAGGGCCAGCGCGCCCCTGAGGGCGGCGACCGGCCCGCCCGAGGCGAGCCCCGCGACAGATGGGGGACCGCGGGGGAGCGGCGGCGGGCCGGGCGGCGGGGACGCGCGGGGCCGCGAGTCGCGCAGCGCGGTCCCTGCGCGGCCGCCTGGTTACCTCTGCGCCGCGACATTGGCGTCCACCACGCCGACGTTCCGGACCCAGGACCGCACCGAATCCATCTCCGCGCCCAGCGATTTCTCTTTCAGAGCTGGTCCTCGTCCTAAAGTATCTTGAATCCCAAACATTTACAAAGTCTGATCCTCTACTGTCTCTTTAAAATTAAGAGTTACAACACAGTCACGACTGCTCCCAACGCTGCCACCAAGCCGTCTCCTTGAAAGCAATCCAAGAAAAGGGATCAAGTGCTGAAGTTTGAGTCTCTCTTGAAAAAAAAAAATAAAGAATAATAATAACAACCCGGCCTTGGTTTCACGCGCGCGGTGCGGGCTGATGGAGCCCGAGTTTGGGGTTTTCTCCCGCGCAAGTTCAGATATGCCGCCCCAGGCCCCGTGCCCTAGGTTGTTCGCATTCTTCCAGCTGCAGTGCTGTTTCCACAAAGTGGTCACAATTTAGAAGCATCACCTGTTCTGGGAGAAACAGGAGATTGATGGCTGCCTAATCTCTCCCCTTCCTCCTGGTTCCCCCCTCCCTGCTCCTCCCCACCGCTCCAATTTAGAGAGGGAAAAAAAAAATCCCCAGCAGGATCAGTTGTAAAAGGAAGGGGAAGACCCGGAGCGGAGAGGAGGCGGTGGCTGCGAGCGCCGCGGAACCGGGCTGCAGCCGCGCGCGGGACCCATGAATGGGTTACTACGGCCTGGGCAGCCGGAGGCGGAGCCGCGGCCCGATAAGGAGCCTCATTTGCATGGGCGCTCGGGATTGGCCGGCGCCGGGCAAGCCGGGCCGACGTCCTCCGGCGGCGCGCGCCACGCTCTGCGTTGCCGGGAGTCCGGGAGGTGAAAGGGGACAGAAAGCTGTGGGCGCCGCGTCCTTGTCCGAACCCGCTGTGCGTGGCGTGCGTGGGATGGGGGCCCCCAAACTCTGCCTGGAGGTGGGGTGGTTCAAGGTGTCCCCTGCTGACCGGGGACACACTGGCTCGGGCTAGCCACGTGAACGGGAAGCCTCTGCGGACCCTGCCTGCACACGCGGGTTTTTGCAGTCCTGCCGGGAGGCAGAGAAGTTCCCGGGTCCGGGTCTGTGCGAGAGAAGCCGCGCAGGGTGTGACCCCACGCGCTAGCGTTAGTGCACACGTTCCTCCAGGCACCCGGCTTCCCAAGTCTCCTGGAGTTTCGCGGCGACACTCAGATGTTGCGTGCGGTTTGCAAGTTGTCGGGGGAGGGGTGCAGACGAGCGAGGCGCGAGTGTTGTTCAAATAAATACAGCGTCGGGTAAACCGCCGAGGTGCTCAGGGAAACACCCCCGGGCGGCGCGAGCACTCCAGAGGCTGCTGACAGGTCGTGGCAGGCGGAGCGCGCGAGCGGCCGGGGCGCGGTCCTGGGGCGTGGGCGCCGCCGTGGAGCCGCGGTTGCGGAGTGGCAGCAACTTCGCCCCGCGCACGGCTGAAACCCTAGACGGCTTTTCAACTGCGTGGGGCAGCTCCTGGTGCCTGTCTTTAAAAACAACAACTCTCCTGGCTGGGTGTTATTTTCTTGCTTCTCCTTTTGTATTCTGATCTGTGCGTAGATCTGCTGCTGAACTCTAGAACACCCGCGCGAAAACAGATTTGAAGACAATGAATGCAAATCTGTGCTCAAAGACCATCTGCCGTGGAGGAGACAATCAGCTGTTCCGCGGTGCGAGCGCCTGCGCCCGCGTCTCCCGGCCTCATTACGGAGAGGGCCTGCCCGGAAGCCTGCGTTGCATTCGGGAGAGCCCCACTCCCACCCCTCCCACTCACCACCATCACCGCCCCCTGGGGACTCGGATCTAAGGTCCAGACCCCTTAGGTGGAGGTGAACGCTCGCCAGTGACTGCGAGCGTTGCAGCTCGCGGACACGGCGCCTCTCCAAACTCGCGCGTCCGCGGCGACACGAAGCTCGCGCTTTCGGAAACGGCGCTGTGTGCGGAAAGGGACATGTGCGCGCCGCCACCCCTGCCCAGGGGCGAACCGTGCGGCCCGACGCCGGGCGGGCGGGCGGGCGGGACGGCGTTCTGGAAGCCCGGGTCTCCACTGCTGGAAGCCAGCGGGTAGCGGACGGGTTTGCGGACCCTGTCTGCGAGACCCGGGCTCCCGGGACTGGGTAGCCAGCCGGCTGGGGGGAGGGAAGGAAAGAGGAGCTGAAACCCCGCCTTTGAGTTGTGTCCACTGGAGTTCGCCGACCCCAGGACTCTGGCTTGGCTCACCTCGTTGGACAAGACCCAGAAAAACAGTGAAAGCCCAGTAAAACAGGAGTTGCCCAAAGAAACAAGACGCAGAGAACTGTGTAAGATGGAACTATCCTCTATCCACTATTAAACGTAGGATTCGTGGATAAGTTCAGCCCCTACCAAAACTAACCAATGAACCGTCGACCCCTGCCCGCTCTTGATAAACCTCTCCGAGCCTCAAGTAACTTCCCCGCATCCCATTCCTCCTCCGGGGTTGCCTGCAGTGGGCCCTCGGGCTCCCAGTGGAGCTCCGTGTGCTTGAGCCCGCGGGGATCGTGTTTTACCAAGGAGCCTTTGATGTGCACCCTACGCTGCCGGGGAAGGGCGCCATCGTACCCTACGGGGTCGCTGGTCAGCAGTGGGCCCGGGCCTTGTCCGGACAGTCTGCCCCTCGGGCTCAGGTTGGCTTGGGTTAAAGGGCAGAGCCGGGGTCCAGGACGCGGCCGGCTTTTCTCGCTGGTAACAGCTGCCACCCGAATTATGCCCCTCAGGAAGCGAATGAATTGCTCCTTTCTCCCAGCCCCCTGCTGCCTGCCTCAACCCAGACGGCCAAGCGGGGATAGCCCCGCCACCCCCACACCCAGGGACAAGGTCAAGGGCCGCGACGCCTGCCCCGAGGTAGTTCGGGGGGAGCTGTGGCCCCGGAACTGGGACCGGGTTGGGAGGACCGCACCGCTCCTCGCCAGCGGGGCCAAGGGCGCCCGCCCCACCGCCGCGCAGGAGGGCACAGAAGTTCCCTCTCCGCCAGGAGGAAGTTGTCCCGCGAGCGCTGGGGACAGACAGCGCGGCCTGGGGCGCGGCGGCACCGCGCCTCAGTTTTCGCTGCGCCTGGGCGCTGAGCGCTTCTGCCCACCGAGTTGCTTTTCCATTGTGTCCCTATTGGTTCGGGGGAGCGGAGGGCGCAGAGTTGACCACCCGCGCGGCAGCAGCGCTGGGTAAGGCTGAGTCGGGCAACGGCGGCTGCGTCTGAAAGGTCCTTCCTATTGCCTCGGGCGGCCCCCTAACAAACCTCCTTTCTGAACAAGCAGCACAAAACCCGCCCCGAGCCTTGCGGGGGCCGGGTAGGCGCAGCTGGGGCCGACGGAAGCAGGGCCCGGAGGGGGTGCGGAACTGCGGAGCCCGGGTGCACGCCTCCGGCTCCCGCCCGCGGGCTTTGTTGCGCCCCTAGCCCAGGTCGGAAAAAATCCAAATGAACACTATGAAAACTCATGATCTCCTAGGTACACCAAACTGGAGTAGTGATCCCGGTGTTCCGTCTCCACTCGGACCCCTCCGTCCCAAATAACTCTCGGGACTTTACCTGTTTCACAATTCACAGCTGCACCTCCGAACACGTGCAGTGTGTCCTCGCCACGGGTTTCAGGCCCGTTTGCCGGGTTTCGTCCGGTCCGCTCATCCCTGAGCGCCGCGTCTCTCCTCCGGCCAGAAATTTGGAAATCTGCCTTAAAAGTTGCCCTCTGGGCCACGTTCTCTCCCGGGCGGCGCCCTGGGGTAAATTCAGAGGTGCTAGACCCGTCCATCCCTCGGGGTTCTCACCCCTCACCTCCTGGCGCACACACTTGCAGCGTTGAGTCTACGCAGCCCTAAGCACTCAACTAGTCTAGTCCTGGGGAATTCGATCCACAGGGCCAGGCAGTGTGGGTTTTGCAAATGAAATAAGTGGCCTTCTCCTTGGCCTCTCTTCGGAGGTGAATCGTGTGTGTGTGTGTGTGTGTGTGTGTATAGTTGCGGTCTTTGCTGTTTATTTGCCCAGCTAGGAATATATGACTGTGCTCGACATCTCAGACCATCTCAATCACAATTCCTCGTGAAATGGTTTTTCAAGTATCCAACTTCATGAACTTCCACTCCGGATCGCAACTGTGACATTTTTCATCTGGAAACCAGGCTGGAGAGGGAGGTAGAAATACACAGCAGATCTCTCTCTCTGGGACTCCGCCATCCACACGGAGCAGTTCCCTTGCAGCAAGCACACTTTGGTCCGAAGAGGATGCACTTCTTGCATTGTTTCTCCACGGCGAAGAAGAGCGGGTACATTGGCTGAAATACTGAAGCATGGAAGAAAGCTTCATGGGCTCAGGCACGTGCCTTGGCCAGTTGGGTCCCCGCGTTGAAGGGGCCAGGTCGGGCTCTGCCCAGCTGGGCAGCTCCAGAATGTCTCTTTCTCCTCGGGCTCACCGGCTTCCTCCCTCCTCAACTCTAACCCGTTCTCCTCCCCACGGTGTCCACAGCGGAAAGACCCTTCCTTCCTTATTCCTTCCTTCCCTTATTCTAGGTATAGGGAGGGAGAAAGCCTGAGCCAATACAGAAAACCAGAGAGGGGAACAGCAGCCGGGAGGGCAGTGTGTGGCCGGGCAGGTGAATGTGGTGGGGGTCAGGAGGTCTGGAGAGAAGTGCCTGGCGCGACTCCCGCCCGAAGCTGGGGACCCAGTCTCGCGGGTGGTGGTGAGGGGGCCCTTTCTTGGGGCCATGCTGGGTGAAACCAGCCAATGGCAGCCCCTTCCAGGAACCTGTGCGCCAAGGCGAAGGTGATGCGTCTCCGTCACCGCAGTCCCAGGGGCGCGGCGCCGACCCGCATTGCGGGGCCGGATGGAGCAGGGGTCCATACACCGTAAGACCGAGAGGAAGACACCCACGAGCAGAGGCAGGCGCCTTCTCACCCCGAAACTACACGGCGACACATCTGGAGGGATTTCCTTGTCCCCATCTTACAGATGAGCAAAATGAGGATGAGCGGTGACAAGGGACGCCCCAGATGACATTCGGGGAACAACGACCCGCTTCCAAGACTCCACCACAGCGCGCAGCGGGCCTTCAAAAAGGGAAAACTTCACTGCGTCCCCCACTGCTTCCCTGCTTTGCTCCGCTCAGTTGAGGGGAACGATACCCGCAAAGCGCCTCCGAAATTCCCCCCTTTCCGGGTGGTCCCCGCCCCGCTCCAGGCAGCAGGGGAAAGCCCGCGGGACCTCCGGGCTCCCTCCCGGCTCTCTCGGCGGAGGTGTGAGCGATGTGTTGATTATGCATCTTTTTGCCGAGCGCACTCTCGGCCGCGGCCCGCGCCGCCACATTTCACACGTACGTTCGCGCGCGCACTCTTACGCGCGCCCACCCCAGCCCGGCGCGCGCTGCTTCAGCCCGCTCGCCCGGGGGCTGCCCCTCGTGGGGAGGTAGTTTTCGGGTGAGAGAGAGGTGACCAAGGCTCTCACCCCTCCCCACCTCCAGCACAAGCTGCCTCTGGCTTCAAGCCCCCAGAAACA